ACCCCTTCATCACCCGCAAGCTTAATTCCCCCATGTCTAACCCCAGCCTCCCCCGAAGTAACTCGAGGCCTCACGCCATGCCCGCAGTAACTCGAGGCCTCACGCCATGCCCGCAGTAACTCGAGGCCTCACGCCATGCCCGCAGTAACTCGAGGCCTCACGCCATGCCCGCAGTAACTCGAGGCCTCACGCCATGCCCGCAGTAACTCGAGGCCTCACGCCATGCCCGCAGTAACTCGAGGCCTGGTCTCGGCCTGGTCTATTGCACCCCGTATCCCCGGCCGCTCCCTGGCCGCCCAGCTCCCCCCCGCTCCCCCGGCACACTCACTCAGGCGGGAAGAGTCGCAGCTCCTCGATCGTTCCCAGGAAGCCAAACAGGGTTAGCATCTGTTCGGAGGTGGCGCTCGGGGACACGTTGGTCACCTGGATCACGGCGGTCATTGTGCAGCCTCCTGCTTTACATTAAATACGGAGACAAAAGAGCAACACACAGGATTAGTAACGGGCGGGGAGAGCGGGAGCTGCAGCGTTACACTGAGCTGACGAGAACGGCCGCCATTACACAGTCTGCCTGCCTGACTGGGCCTCACTGTCCCACAATGCACCGCTCGGCCTCGCGCCTGCGCACCACGCCCGCCAATACCGAGACCAACCACCAGAGGCAGTGTGACGCTGACCGCCGCACTGCAATCCTACCTACAATATCACACTGCCCCTAGCGGTCGTTCTTGGTATTCCTGTCCTGGTGCGGCGTTGTGACGTTAACACCAAGATCGCCCGCCAGGGGCAGTGTAACTTATTCCCAGACTGTGAGCTGCTTCTACTGCAATTCCGCCGGCCGCCAGCAGGGGCAGAGTGATAGGGTCTCATTCACACAGCCCCTGATTATTGTATTTACAGTGGCACAGCCAGCCTGTTTATACTTTTGTGTAATTTTGTATCAAACTATATATTTTTTATATTTGTGTCCCAGGTTGATGTGGGATAAAAATCTGTTTGCTATTATGCCATTCCTATCTTTGTATTTCCTTAAAAGAAAGCCATTGTGCATTTGAAAAAGTAAAAATAAAAAAATGGCTCAGCTTGATAAAGACTCCTTTCTTCACACAATATATCAACAAAGTTAAACCAGTATGTCGTATATCTATTATGCATAAAACCTCTGACTAATTTCATTTATTTTTAAAAGGACACTCTAGGAGAGTCTTTTCAATCTCTGCCTCCCTCCCCCCGCAGCACATGTTGAGATGGCCTACAACTCCCATCATTCTTTGAAATGGACAGAGTATCATGTGAGTTGTAGTTCTTCGACATCTATGGGGAAAGAGATTGAGACGCGCGTGCTAGGCACTGGAGCCATTTCATATCAAAGAAATGATTATAGTGTCTGGAGTGCCCTGGCACTGTCTTTTCATTCAATGGTATTCTGTTGTTAATAAGCTCATTTGCCAGCATTGCAATTATCTGCAGAATGCCCTATTTGGTTTGTGCGTGTCCAGAGCATCAGGTGGTGAGAATGTTAACCTGAACACAAATGTGGTGTGAAGGTAAACATACCTCCCAATTATTGTCCTGGTGCAGTGAAATGCTGTGTGCGCCAATAAAATACTTTCCATGAGCAGCATTTGAGTGAGAACTGAGACTGACTCGGTTCTCACATGGGAAATGGCTCTAGTGACTGTCCAGAAATATATGGAAAAAAAAAACACCCAAATGGCAATGTTTTACAATGCAGGTTTAAAATGGCGGAGGCACTGCACACAGACCATTTCATTGAATGAACTGGACTGGGTGCCTTACGTCTTCCTTAAAGGGACACTGTAGGCACCCAGACCACTTCAGCTCATTGAAGTGGTCTGGGTGCAAACTCCCATCACCCTTAACCCTGAGCATGTAATTACTGCAATTTTTATAAACTGCAATAATTACCTGCTAGGGTTAAGTCTGTATTCTTAGACGACTTTTAGTCGTCTAAACGACGCTGGACGTCCTCACGCTATGCATAATAATGCTTTCCTGTGAGGTGATCCTAATGCAAGCGCGGCTATAGCCGCGCATGCGCATTAGGTCTCCCCCGCCAGCTGATGTCGGTGGGGGAGGAGCGTGGGCGGAGCTAAGCCAGCGCCGAGGGACATTGGCGCTGAACCCAGGTAAGTGACAGAAGGGGTTATTAACCCCTTCTGAACCATAGGGGGGGTCTTGACCAAGGGGGATGCTTTAGTACCAGGAAAATGAGTTTTTTTTCCTGGCACTATAGTTTCCATTTAACCAATTAGGCAACTGAAAATGTTATTTAGACAAGTCATTTCGAATGGACAAAGAGGGTGAATTACTAATAATTTGTGCAACTAAAATGTAATTTAGAACAAGAACAGTGTATCTTGTTTACACAGACTGACTTCTAAGCATATTTATTCTAGTCTAAACTCCCATTAATTTATAATTGCTGTGAATAATAATAATAATATAGAGCTCCTAAAAAGGATGGATTGCAGACTATAAAAAAAGGGAAGCAGGGATTTGGGCTCAACAATAGGGGCACTTGGGCGGTAAGTGTTATTGTCTATGCATAGTTATTATAAGTTAAAACACACGATATGGTAGTTTTATTTACACTAAGTAGGACAGAAAAGAGGGTTAGAAGGGATTTGGGAAGGACATGTGGGACGTGAAGCCGCCATCTTAGTACACTCGCTGAGAGACGCCATCTTAGCAGAGTTATGGCCCCAGCATTGCGCGTGCTCCGTGAGCCGCCATATTAGTACACCCAAAGCATGGTGCAGGCTCTCTGTCGCCATCTTGCTCCCGTTGTGGGTGGTGCAGGGCGGCATTGACTGGCTGTTAGTCAGTTTGAATGTAGTGGCTCGGCCTGGCACCATGTCTCGGTTTAGGAGAGGAGGGGGACACCCGGACCCCAGGGCCGGTTTCCAAGACGAGAAGGACAAAGAGCCCCCCGTTCCCCAGGGACTGATCAGGACAGCCCGGAAAAGCGGCCAATTAAATCTGTCAGCGAGGGGCCTGACTGAGGGTGAGATCATGGGGCACCCAGGGTCTGTCTGGCACTAGGATCATGGCATGGTGTGAGAGTGACAGCTGGCTGACTGACGGGGCATTGGTTACAACATTGGTAACATTGGCATTGGTTATTATTATTATTGGTCTGGGGGTCACAGCAGGCACACCGGCAGGGGTATTATTATTATTATTATTATTATTGGTCTGGGGGTCACAGCAGGCAGACTAGGGGGGTCACAACATGCACACCGGCAGGGGTATTATTATTATTATTATTATTATTATTATTATTATTGGTCTGGGGGTCACAGCAGGCAGACTAGGGGGGTCACAACATGCACACCGGCAGGGGTATTATTATTATTATTATTATTATTATTATTGGTCTGGGGGTCACAGCAGGCACACCGGCAGGGGTATTATTATTATTATTGGTCTGGGGGTCACAGCAGGCAGACTAGGGGGGTCACAACATGCACACCCGCAGGGGTATTATTATTATTATTATTATTATTATTATTATTATTGGTCTGGGGGTCACAGCAGGCACACCGGCAGGGGTATTATTATTATTATTGGTCTGGGGGTCACAGCAGGCAGACTAGGGGGGTCACAACATGCACACCGGCAGGGGTATTATTATTATTGGTCTGGGGGTCACAAGAGTCACACTGGCAGGGGTATTATTATTATTGGTCTGGGGGTCACAACAGGCACACTGGCAGGGGTATTATTATTATTGGTCTGGGGGTCACAACAGGCACACTGGCAGGGGAATTATTATTATTGGTCTAGGGGTCACAACAGGCACACTGGCAGAGGTATTATTATTGGTCTGGGGGCCACAACAGGCACTCTGGCAGGGGTATTATTATTGGTCTGGGGGTTATATCAGGCAGACTGGGGTGGTCACAGCATGTACACTGGGATGGGGTATTATTATTTTTATTGTTATGGGGGTCACAACATGCACACTGGCAGGGGTATTATTATTATTGGTCTGGGGTTCACAACATGCACACTGGCAGGGGGGTAGCTGGGCTGAGGGATCAACATGCACATTGGCAGGGGGATAACTGGGCTAAGGGATCAACATGCACACTGGCAGGGGTATCGCTGATTTGGGGTTCACAGCAGGCAGACAAGTATAGATATTACTCATATGGGAGTCACAGCAGGAAGACAGGTATGGATATTACTGATGTGGGGGGTCACAGCAGGCAGACTGGCAGGGGTATTACTGATCTGAGGTTTTCTACAGGTAGAATGGCTGGGGTTCACTGCAGGTATACTGGCAGGGGTATAGTCGGGGTTCACTGCAGGTAGACTGGCAGGGATATAGCTGTGGTTCACTCCAGGTTGACTGGCAGGGGTATAGCTGGGGTTCACTCCAGGTAGACTGGCAGGGAAATAGCTAGGGGTGTCACAGCAGGCAAGACTGATAGGGGTATAACTGGGGTCACAGCATGCAAAACTGGCAGGGAAATCGTTGGGCCTGGGACTCACAGCAGGCAGACTTGCAGAAATATAGCTGGGTCTGGGGGTCACAGCATGCAAAACTGGTAGGGACATTGCTGGGCCTGAGACTCACAGCAGGCAGACTGGCTGGGATATAGTTGGGGGTGTCACAGCAGGCAAGACTGGTAGGGGTATAACTGGGGTTCACTGCAGGTAGACTGGCTTGAATAAAGCTGGGTCTGGGAATCGTAACATGCAGATTAGAAGGGGTTTATCTGAGTCGGGGGGTCACAACAGGCAGACTGGCAAGTTTTAGCTTGGTGAGGGGGTCAAAGCTGATACTAGGCACAGAAAGCAATCTCTATTGTGATCAATAGGGTGTAATACTTCAGTTTTTGAATTGCAACCGCTAACCTTTTCCTCGCTGCATTGGAATAGTGTGAGTTACATTCCAATAATGTCTGGAGGGTATTGCAACTACTACAGATTCACATTTAACAGGTGTTCAGCTTGAACAGTAAGTTATGTGTGCTTCTGGGACACCCTGACTGAGGGTGATGAGAGCAAAGCACTATTATAGTCTTATTTATAAGAGCTCACTGGATTTTGGTTATGTTATATAATAGTTACAAGCTGGAACAGTAACGACTGATCTTAATGAGCAAAACAGACACTACATAAACTTTGCCATATTTGATGATGTTTCGAGGCAATATCACCAAATGTAAACGAACTGTTAATTAAAGCAAATAAGCACTAATAAATTAATAATATAGCTCTGCTAAATGGATAACACAACAAATGCACATGTTCGCTATACCCAAAATGTCAGCTTTGAAAAAGCTTAAAATGGCAGTTTCACATCAAGCTTCTCCTATTGTTTATTGTTCTCTTCTCATGTGTCACATGAACTATTTTGTTGCAAATTGGAAATTACAACTGTGTTTCTTTAAAGTGGCCCTGTCCTTTAAAACTTACATTTTTCCTATTTTTTCCTATAGTGTCCTTTTAAAACAATACGTAGGACACAGCAGTCCCTACTTTGTCTTATGTCTTAAAGAGAAATAGCTCAGAAAAGAACATATTTTGAAAGAGGAATCAATAGGAGAAAGGTACATTTTAGGTAACCGTTATCATTGCCAATTTGAAACAAACTAGTTAATGCCACACCTGATACTTCTTATTACTACTGTGATGTAATTGCAATGCCCACACAATAAATGGCATATGGGTCTCGAGATTGTGTGATGAATGACAGTGACAAAAGGGAGATGTTTCTTCAATCAGTTATAAAAGTGCAAATTTCAACTCGAAATTGGCACTTTCATACACTGCAATTAAAGGAGATGCTACTCACACATAAAATGCTTCAGCTGAAGTGTTTTATGTGTGTTGAGTGTTACTTTAACTCAGCAGACAGCAGATACATTTTATTGTTCTAAGAAGAATGAAATTCTTAATTAGAACTTGATCTGTAGTTGCTATGTTATTAAACGGAGTTCAAATTAAACCAGGAGAGATCCATAAGATACTGTCTTTATTGCATCTTTACCAGGAAACCTTAGTCATCCAGTTTCAGTAAGCTGGTGTCAGGATTCCAGGTGTATAATTCTTCCTTCTCTTACTGCCATATCTAGTTCCTTTAAGTGTTTGGCGAATAAACTTGGATACACCAGAAGAAGCTCATCAGAACGTGACATTTGGTGGAGCCGACCGGTGGTGGGAACAGACTGATCTAACAAAGTTGATTCTAGCTTCAAACAAATTGCAATCTCTGTCTGAAGATATAAAGCTTCTTCCAGCTCTTGTTATTCTGGATGTAAGTTGTGATTTGTTGTTACTTGAAGTGGTGCGGGTCTGGAGGCAGGGGAGTATTAACTTCCAATCACAAAGTCAACAAAAGATATGGAGCTTGTCTGATGTTCCTCCATTTTATGCAGCCATAGTCACATGTCCCTGCATATGACTTGCACAGTCTCCCTACACATTTCACACCAAGAGATTTTTAATGTTTAAAGGGACACCCCAGGCCCCAAAAGTACTTTAGCTTGCTGAAAAGCTTTGTGTGTGTGTGTAAAGAGTGTGTCCTTTCACTGTTTGCAAAAGTGTGAATTTCTGGGAGTTCAAAATAAATTATAAGCCAAAATAACCCAACTGAAAGCATAGCTGGTCTGGAAGCTTTTTGTAGTTTGGCTATTTTAGTCCCTAATTTGAAATTCACTTTGCATTTGCAACAATTCACAATTTAGTGGATCAACTTGTAGGAGGTTCCTTGAACTTGTTCAGGTGAGCAGATCCCCAATACAGTTTAAAATATGTATCTATTAGTAACCCATTAGAACAGTCAAAACCTGCACGCTTTGTAACTAAATACTTCTAAATACAATCATCATTGGCACTTACTCCACTGCAAAATAAATAAAAATCATTGTTTAGTAGATCAACCCCACACAAAAGCATGCATGCATTTAATTATGCTTTTTTTTTTTATATCTAAAAACTGCTTGCAAAACCTGTTGATCGCTTGTTTGCGCTCCCTTTCTAACCCCACCCAGACTTTCCAAATGCAACTCTATGAGAAGTCTTTGCAAGGCAGGTGCTCTGGGCAATTGCTGCCTCTTGAGTCTAGCTCCACTGAGCTAATCAAACCAGGAAGTAACAGGACTAGTTGTCTGATTGACAGCAGGTGCTGTAACAAGGGTAATTTATAATAGTGCCAACTTTAATTGAAATCTGCACTTTCTGTAAACTATAAAACAGAGGACACACTCTTCACACATAAAGCAGTTCAGCAAGCAAAAGTGTCCTTTTAATCGATAAAATTAAATTAAAATTCAATCATTCGCAAAGAATGTCAACAAACTAAAAATAAATGCCTCAATGTGGGCAGTGTTTCGTCTAGCCATTATTGACGAGGAGAAAGCACATACATTTTATCTCATTAAAAAAAAATGCTCATATTTATGAGGTTGCCTGCACATTTTGTTTGTAGGTTCACGATAATCACTTATCAAGTCTGCCATGTGCCATCGGTGAACTGGTCAACCTGCAAAAATTAAACATCAGGTACAGTTGTCACTTGTGGTCTCGAGTTCTTCATATGAGCCAACAAGAAAAATACAGATCAATACACCTGTTTATTAGTTATTAAAAATAAATAATGCTGTGTATATATAAAAAATTTATTTTGTAAAAAACAAATTGTAAAATCCTTTGTTTCTTGGATAGTAGAATTAAAAAAATGTTCTCCCTACTTTGCAGTAGAATGTGTTTTCCTGTCCACTGTGATAAAAATAGGACTAATGGACTAATAATGATTTTTCTGATACAATATGTATAATACGTTTCATACATGTTGACATATATAGATCTTATGATCAAACTGCTCTTGTCCAAACAACCTAAATATTTTTACTTATGCTGAGAAACTAGTTTTGTCATGTTTTACCCCTTTTCACCATGTCTGATCTTCTGTTTTCTGTCTTTGTTTGTCCTGCCTCTTTTGTGCTGTTGCCAGTCACAATAAACTTAAAGAATTGCCTCAAAATTTGGCAAATTTGCAGAATCTAAAGTCCTTACAAATTCAGCACAATCAGTTAGAGGAATTGCCCGACATGCTGGGACATCTAAGCTTTTTAGAAGATTTAGTAAGTATTATTTTTATTTATTTATATTCTTTGTTTTCACAAAAGATGCAAAGTGATTTGTGAATTGTGGTATGGTTATGGGGCAGGGATCTGTTCATAATAGTAACAAAAACTATTTATATGTAGCATTAGCGATTTATGGAATAGTTCAGAAGCATTTATAATAAATCAATTTTTTTGTGTTTTGAGAAGATCCTCTCCAGCATGGATTGGGCGGCCTATTTATTTAAAGAAAGATTCATTGGTGGTGCAGAGAATATCTCCCACTCACATTTTGCTCTGAGTGTACATTATTACCGCAGCTATTTGTAGAATGATCAGTCATGCGACCAGAACACTTTGTTCAAGCTGTATAGCATAATTTTTGTCCGTGTGCATTTGTCATGCCCACGTTACATGCACAACATAGGCTCAGCTCTCAGTCCTCCAAGGAGGTCTGCTGATTGGTGCACATAGCATTGATCACTAAACCGAGAACTTGCCTATTGATAGCAGCCATGGTAGCTGCTATCAATTTAAAATGCAATTCTAGTTTATCCCCCAATCATAGTTTGACTTGTTACCTCTGTTCAGCGTTGATTAGTGGGATAAGATTATATTCCACTGATCACAGATGCTCCAGAGTGGCATTCTCTTTCTAGTGAGAGGGTGGCCTTCCCACAACTGCAGGCAATCATATGCTCCTCTTCCACTGTTTCTAAGAATCTTTCTGCAAATCCATGGTGTTTTAAAATAGAAACATCTGGGTTTTTCTTTCTGTTTTTGTTATATTTTAGTTTTGTTATGCAGTAAACATGGAGCTGCTAAATCCTTTATATTTTACTTTTTTTTTTTTTATTTCTATTTAGGATGCATCTAACAATCAGTTGAGGAGTATTTCAAGTAGCCTTGGCCATCTTTCTTGTCTTGCTCGTCTGAATTTATCCAATAATAAACTAAAGACACTACCTGCAGAAATCGGACAGCTGAAAAGTAAGAGACGTTCATGTCAGTGGGCAAGTGTAATTTTAATGCTGTCTACCAATCAGGCTGAAAGTATCTGCATAGCGCGTACAATGAACAAGTCCCTGTTTTATTAGACTGTGAGGAATAATGGCATGGGGCATATAATACACCAAATGACTATGAACCTGTTTTCCTAGCAGTTACTAGGTTTGCCATCAGGTGTAGAGTGCTTCAAAATGCTGCTTATGGAAAAAAAGCGTTTGCTAATGTTCCTCCGTTATAGGTCATCTTTTGCTCCCCCATTTTGCCATGGTCTTCATTAGCCCCCTATCATTTTTAACCGACACCCACCCTTTGTGTTCTCTTCTCTCCGTACTTCTCCTGGGTTGCGATTTATATTCTGGAATTCCTTGCCTTGTTTTCAGGCTTTCCCCATCATTCCACAGCTTGAAATGTTCTCTGTAAACTTTGCTTTTCAGAGAGGCCACCCACCTTCCTCCCTTCTAATTTTCTCACAGTTTCTCTCTTCTGCCTGGCATCTTAGCCACCACTTGCCACCAAGTATGACTTTCCTCTTTAATGTAACCACCTTCCGTTCTTTCTCTATCACTTCTAATTTAATGTTAGACAGGAGAGCCCGCCCAACAGTTTGTCAATCATTTGGGTGAGTTGGTTAAAGGAACACTGCGCTCACGGAAGAGAAAGCCAAGCAGTAGACTGTGCGTAGACCACATCTCTGGAATCCATATGGAGAACAGACAGCTACCACTTTAAAGGGGATAAATCACAAATGTCATAGACCCCTGCCTAGGCTAATTGTTGACTCCATTGAAATGAATGACACAATTCTGAATGGAGCATCTCTTTGTGGTTAAGGGGGGGTATGCCTTTTGCTCTATGCAAAAATACCAAAAATGTGTGTGTGTGCAGGGAGCTTTCATGATCGCACCCTTTTTTTTTTAACTTGAAATATTTAGCATTTTTAATGTATAAATATTGGTAATCATTTTGACTGTTTTTATTTCTCTTTAAAGTTCATAGTGTTGAGTAGTTTTTAAGAGATTATTGTGTGTTCCGCTGTAGATGTTGAGCTAGTTCTGGTGACTTGCTGTGTCATTTTATCACTGTTTGTGAATTGCTTCATTAGATGTAAAGCAGTTGGACTGTACTGCAAACTTGCTGGAAGACGTACCTGTCCTGCTGGCTGGTATGGACTCCCTGGAACAGATGTATTTAAGACAGAACAAACTGACTTATCTCCCAGAACTTCCCAACTGCAGAGTGCTGAAGGTGAGATGTATACAGAGAGCTGTTAAGATCAAATACATGATTCCTGCCACCTATTAAAGTGATTTAATCATTCATAGTTGCTCCTCTGCATTTGAATATTAAATGCATAAGCTTATAGTTCCTATATCCTACAACAAAATATATTTGGTGTCTCTTCATCCATCCAAATTCCACCCTGCACCTACAGGAAACAACTGTTGTCACAGTTACATACACAGTCACACTTCTGCACACACACAGTAAGCATCCTAAAGTGTATTTGCACATATTTATATCCTCTCACAATCCACAATTTTGTCTCTGCTTCATTTCCTGAATGTCCTTCCCCAACGTTTTCACAATCGCCCCCTTCCTTTGTGTGTCTCCTCATCAATTCCTTTCATTGTGTCTTTCCTAATCACCCCTCTCCTTCTGTCTCTTACTTCTTTTTCCTGTGCTTATGCCCTTTTCGCACTCCCCCATGTGCCTCTTCACAGCCCCCCTTTTACAGTGGCTGTCCTCTCCCAAGTAGCATGCCAGGAAGATGTCCACTACATGTGCCAGGTTGCAGCTCACCTCCCCACCATTCACAAAGGTGGCTGTGCGGTGTGTGAGGAAAGAGCAGAAGATGGAAGGTCTTCTGCAGTCTCTGCCTCTCATTGCTCACACACTCCTTTGTGTGGACCGCTAAATGTGAGGACCTAAGGGGATGTAGAATCAATTTATAAACGATGCTACTGAATTCATTGTTGGTTCTTCCTGCCCCAGAAGGTGAGGTATCCAGGGACTTTGGAGAATTCATCAAACATTTTTTATTTTATTTATAGATAGGGAAGCACTGCTTCTAGTTTAAAAGTGGTAAGTTTTTTATTTTCATCTTTTTTTTTTTTTTTAAGAAATGAACACACTCCATGTCTAATGTCCTGTAGCAATGGAATAATTTCCTGTTTTTTTTATTGTGGCAGTTTTAGCAGCGTCCTAAGGTCTCTGTGCGAAACCACTGGATCATGTTTGTGTGCATGAAACTACAAAGTCATTATTAATTTCTGACTCTGTGGTTCTAGGAACTGCATGTTGGTAACAACCAAATAAATACTCTTGGCCCTCAACATCTGAAGCATTTGTGCTCCATCAGTGTCCTCGAGCTGCGAGATAACAAGCTGAAATCATTACCAGACGATATAAATATACTGAAAGGACTGGAGCGCCTCGATTTAACCAACAATGATATCAGCAGGTGAACAAATTCATACTATTAGAAAAAAACAGATCTGTTTCACTACTGGAAACCACAGATTTTTATAACTGTTTAGAACCTTGGAAATACCACCCTGTTAGTGACTCAGTAATGTTTGAGCGCTTAGTAATATTCTGATGTAAACAATAACATTGCTGCTGTTTACATGAATCTTTATCCCCTATATTTAATACATTTGAAAAACATAAATCCGCAGGTCTGGAGTGCCCCCATTTTAGAGCCCTCTTGTTATAAACAAGAAACAATGTTTTTCTCCTCATTGCATCATTGTGTGCCCTGGCCACGGTATTTTTATGGTGCAAGTGCTCATGCGCCAGCATCAGCTGTGTAGTAGGGGTTCGGCTCACTTCCGGTGCGAAATCTGATAGAACACAGACTTTTAAGGTAATTTGCTAAATCTAATATACGTGAAAGAAAATTTAAACATCACATCTAAAAATGTTAATACAGGTTATAGGTCATTTTCAATGTTTTATCCAGTGATGTCATTTTTAGAGAAGTGGCAGGACAGTACCCCTTTTAGTAGTTTGGGTTATAGTGAGAGCAAAATTCTCATTGTTTATGAAGAATGCATAATTGAGAAACCATTTTTTATTTTTTTTTAAACATCTAAACTCTATGCACCGAAACAACTTTAGTGTAATGAAGTGGTTTTGGTGTATAGATAATGTCTCAGTCTGTTTAATTTAGAATTTCTTCTCTCCATCTCTGTTAATAGTTTGCTAGAGCCTACGTGAACCTAGTATGTTATTACAGTTAGCTTGACTGAGCAGGAAATAACAACTCCTAAAGTAATCACACTGTGTTGTAAGGTCTGATGGAAAAATAAACCATTCTTCTGAGTCAATCACAGTCAGGGGAGGTGTGGCTAGGGCTGCATAAACAAAAACAAAAGTGATTTAACTCCTAAATGGCAGAGAATTGAGGAGCGAGACTGCTGGTGCATGATCTATAAACAAAAACTGCTTCGTTAAGCTAAAGTTGTTTTGGTATTTTAAGTGTCCTTTTAAATAGAATTAACCAGGATACATTTTTGTTAAAACCATTAAATTGTAAATTTAGATTCATGTATTTTCTGAAGTATAGTTACATCTTATTAATTATGTGAATGCCAGAGAGGTGAGCGTATGATATTCATTGAGCGTTTTATCCATTACTCCCCAATGCTCAATAGCGTCTCATCAGACCCAGAGTTCCAATCTTGCTATATCTGTGTGTCTATCAAATTCTTATTTATTTTATGTAGTGTAAGTAAAGCCATATAATTTATTGATTATGTAGTAGTAAACTATGTAAATCATTGTGTTTTGCTCCTCAGCCTCCCCAACTCTCTTGGAAATCTTCCAAATTTAAAATCCCTACAACTGGAAGGTAATCCCTTGAGAGGGATTCGGCGAGACATTCTGAGTGTAAGTACGATTACATACTGTAAGATTGGGTATTAATTTCCAAAGATCCTTCTTTGTAAACATTTAAACATGATGCTATAATAGATTTACATTCACACTTATTACAATTTATGTCAACGGAGACTATTGTTATAAATGTAAGAGAATCCCATTTCATCTGTACATAATGCTAGCAAGTGTCTAAATTTCTCTAAATTATGGGGTTACAAAACAGCCCTTTCTGCCTCCTGACAGTCAGTCCAGCCTGTGCACAGAGATAAGGCTATGCTCTGCATGGCTGTTATCCGGGAAACCTTTCTCTGGGTGCCTCTCCTATGTACCTACTGCCAAAAAGAAAGCACTGTCTGCAAGCGGAAGGATGGTAGAGCAAGGGCCAGCTCTGTGTGAGAGACGCACGGAGAGTGTCAGAATGATTTACTGCAGGAACTTTGGACAGGCAATCTGAGGATGGATGTATAGAGAGAGAACCGCTACATTTTATTTACCTACCATAAATCCAACATCGAGTGTTGGGAACTTTTAACCTGTTCTGGGAATCAAACCTGTACTTCCCAAACAGGGGTACACAGGAGGCGTGTCTATCAGAAAGTGTAACACCCACTGAAAACATGATTGATGCTCTCAGCAGGAGACCAGGGTAATGGAAATAAATTAAATTAAAATATGAAACCCTTATAGGCTTATTCAGGTTTAAGGTCAAAATAGCTGATCTGGACTAATTCTCTCTCTAAATCAGCTTTTTATTTAGTTTGGCTACTCTGGCCTTAAATGTAAAATTATCTTAGAAGTCACATTAATGAATAACGCTGTTAATTGTATAGCAAGTGTCAAGCCAGATGGTTACAAAACTGTATCTGTCACAACAAATAAACTTTAAGTTGACACAGATCTTGTACCGTTACCATCTGTAAGCCAGTGATTGCTAGTGTTTGCCTCCATAATGATTCTTGCACCTAATCCCTGCACTAACTTATTTGATTGGATTTCAGAAAGGAACCCAAGAACTCCTCAAGTATCTCAAAAGTCGGGTTCAAGTCGGTAAGTTTTTAGATGTGCTATAAACTACCAGTATGTTTACATGTGATGGTGCTTATTGTGGACACCTTTGTACTGCCTGGTGGGGTTAATCTCTGGATTTTCTATGGATCTGCAAATTGGATATTTGCTAAAGACAACTCATGGGCACATTTTATCCATTGCACTCATGGTACACATCCACTTTACCACAACTTGGTGCTTGCTAAAAAATATATACAGTATCTCACAAACCTGAGTACACCCCCCCATATTTTATCATATCTTTTCATGTGACAACACTGAAGAAATGACACTCTGCTACAATGTAAAGTAGTAAGTGCACAGCCTGTATAACAGTGTAAATATGTCCCCTTAAAATAACAACACACAGCCATTAATGTCTAAACCGTTGGCAACAAAAGGGAGTACACCCCGAATGTTCTCATACTGAGTAAAGGATACGTGTGTCTATTAAATTTGAAATAAATCTGTAACATTGCTGCAAAGTAGTAAAGATTCCACGTTCAGAGGTCAAATTTTGATTCTTTAAAAAGACTGAAGACATTTTCAGGAACTCACACTTGCCCTATTTTTATCACTTTTTAGCAGGAGTCACATTGTCCAAAGTGAACCCACTTGCTTTTTGTAGGCAAAACTACAGTAATTCACAACCTTAAATAATTAAAGGGTCTGCTTGACCCCCATTAAAAAGGACCAGCTGAAATGGTCCCCAATATTTCCTCACACCATAGTAAGTCTAATAAACTATTTATGCAATTCATCCTTCAAATTACTCCAATATCTGTCAATTGAGTTTATCTGAATTTGCTCTTGCAATATCAGAGCTTAGTGATCCAGATACTTGTTCTTAGGATTTATGAAACAAAATCCATTCGGCCTGTCCTTTTTCCTTGTTGTTCAGTTTAATATGTGAACTGCATTCATCTAAATGAGTAGGATTCCACCCATTTGCAGGATTAGGAATCATTCCATATTCATTTTCATAATAACACGGAGAAAGTATGAAAACCTGTAATATAAAACATCTATATTCTATGAGTCTGTTTGTAAGAACAGGCATTACACTTCTGTATTTACATCTGCACCGTATGTTTTATCAGTACACATATAATAAATATCTATTTATAATGTGTGAATATAATCTGACATTCTCTTTCTATTTTTAGAGGAAAAGTCTGATCAGAACACAGTTACTGCCATGACGCTGCCAAGCGATGCCCTTGTTAACACTCATTCCATCACAACACTGAAAACCTTAGAATATTGGTAGGTGTAAGTATGCATAATATTTTGTTAGGGACGTAGAGTATAGTATACAAATACTCCAAGCATTTTTGTTTCTAAAATAGGCTAAATATATTCTCCTTCAGGGACAGAATGCCTATTTCCTCTCTCTGGGTATATTTTTTGTTACCTACTCCTATTAGTAAAACCATGCTGTTACTTTTACAATTTAATTCTACTGTGATGTGTTACCATCTTCACTTGTATTACTCCTACAGCACCTGCTGCCCTGTAGTTTTTTGCCTCTGTTGTATTTGTTTATCCTGTACCTGCCTGTAACAAATTACATTACGTCAGTAATCCGCCCTGATTCACAACGCTATCCTTCGTTAACAAAATGTACTATAGGCCTCTTTGGCTTTGAAACCTCTTTTTTGTAATTCACTATCTGCACTACTTAAAGGAACAGGTTTTGTTTACTAAAATAAAAGTTTATATTCCTCCATCAGAGAGAGAATGGGAAGTCTAAGCACCAATATCACATCATCTTAAAGGAACACTCCAAGCTCCATAACCACTACAGTTTCTTTCCTTTAATGACTGTTGGGCCTTATAGGCCGCCATTCAGACAGCCATTTGGGTCTTACTAAAATAGATTCAATAACTGAATCTTTTTTACATCCAGTGTTCGCATCTAAAGTATGCTAACTCATTCTGAGAAGCATTGGTATCAGTGCGTCTCATAGAGATAGCTGTGCACACCACAAAGTCGTTTAGTTTTTAATGTTAAAGTAACTCTCTAAATTGATAAATGAACACAGAATAAACACAAATAAATAAAAAAAAATATTTGGTTAGACTTTTCCTTTAAACACAGCAGGTCTTTGCATCTTTTAATGCAGTTACTCTGCCTGTGCCACACATTACAGCCTCCATACACTTCTAACAGTCTTTCTAATCTTGTTTTATGAATTTGTCCCAACTTTTCCTTACAGACTTGTTCTATTTCTGAAATAATTTTAGTTTGTCTCGTATTCACCGTATGTTTAAGAGCACCCCAAATATCTGGTGATTGACAATGCCATTCCAAAACCACAACCTTTTGTTGATTTGAGGTGTATTTTGAATCATTGTCTTGTCTCATCCTCTGCCTCCAAAGAGCTAACTTTTTGTCATTTAAGCACAGTTCTAGGCTTATTTGCCTCTGGTGTATCTGAATGTTGTGTGCACAATTGTTCCAATGACCGCTTAATATGCAACTTCTTTGCAGAGATATGTTTTTTTTTACTTTCCTGACCAGTCTACGATCAGTTTTATTGGTTATTTTCAATGGCCCCCAGATCTTGACTTGACGTCAATCTTTCCTCTTAACTTCTAGCCCATGTAGTTCAGGTTACACCTTGAGAGATTCCGAGTGTCAAATATGTTTTTTAACCATTGGATCTGTCACCAAAAGAGTATGATCAAGGCCTAATGAGTCAATTTACACAATTAAGGTTTTGAGACAATACAAACAAATCACCATCAAAGTGAATTGAGAGAAAGGGTGCCTAAACATTCGCATTTTGTACTTTTTCTGATTTTATTTTATACTGAACTTGATGGTCTCGAGACTTTTTTCATTTATTTTATTTTCAGGTTATTATGCATTACAGTGAAATTCAGCAAATCCTAACCATGCATTAAAATACAGAGATACGTTTTTACATTTTGTTCTGCTGAGGTCATGATAACTTTATTTGGAAAAACTACCAAATGTGTTATTTAGTCAAGGGTACCCAAACTTTGGCATATAAATTATGTTGTTGCTTGTCTCATATTTATCCAATAAAATTCTATTTTATTTTTAGTGTGGCGGAAAATTAATTTTAGGTCTTAGTCTATTTTATATCACTAAGACAGATTATATAGATCACAAACCTCGTAAAGCAGCAGAAGTGAAACATCTAATGTTTAATGTCATACAAGGCAAACGTAATCGCATTTTGAGTAATTTTTGTTTATACATTTCAATAGATAGTGCAACAGATCTCCTCATCAGACAGAATATTTACATTTTATATCTATTTTTATTCTGTTAAGTAAATGCTATCTATCATTTTCTCCTCTTTTAGTGACAAGCAAGCCCCTGCTATCCCTGAAGCAGTGTTTAACGCAGCTGGTACGAATCCGATCGTAACATTAAATTTCAGCAAGAATCAGTTGACGGAGATTCCTCCAAGGTGGGAAGTACCAGCTTTGCAGTTTTGAACGTCATAATATTCAAGTTACCTCTATTTTGGTTTCAGGAGGATATGCCTATAATTATTATATTATCAGCAACAGTATGTTAACGTCACTGTTTCAGTTTTTGAGTTCACGTTCTAATCCAGACATTGCAGAGTTATCAATAGAAACAAAGGTTTGACGGAAGCTCCTATGAAACAGCTTCCTGGACAGGCGTAAGGCTAGCCTCCTCCCCACAGACTATAAGACCTAAAAGGGGCTGTTGTCCCTGTGGGTTAGGGGCCCTGTTTTACTACAACAAAATCCCTGTGCCCAGAGACACTTTGTGTGTGTGTAGTATTCTGTTGTCTGAGTGCCTAAATGTTTCCCCATATGGTTTGGTCATGTACTAAAATTGCATGTATTGCTTGTCCAGGTTGTATGTGGCTTTTCTCCTCCCTTCCCTCCCCCACCCCCCTTTCCTGTCTTATTGTTCTACCGGCATGGCGTTGTCCCATTGTTCCAGGGACACTTCCAGACCAGTTCAAACTGACTGCCCTGCCACTCCTTTAAAACTGTTATGTGGTCCTAAGCTCTTGTCTGTCCCCACCCTTCCTGGTAATTACAAGGCTCCATTCACACTGGTTGTAAGTGTTGTAGTGTGATTGGTTGCTATACCAAGTTCATACTGTTATTGGTTGGATTGATATATGCAGTGTGATTGGTTCTGTCTAAATTCCATACTGCCATTGGCTACCACTGTAACCCTATTGTATGTAAATGAGGCTGTTGGGGGTATACATAGATGTTCTGTTTTTATAAAGGTTGTGGTTCTCCCCTACACTAAGTGTTGTCTAACGCTTGGGGAGGTGGGCTATAATCACTAAAGCAGCATTTCTTCCAACCTGAGAGGAGAGGAGTTCAGCCGAGATACTCGCTTGGAGTATTGGAGCTCCACTACATGAGGATACAACTAAAAAAACAAACTTAAAGAGTATATAATAACATAATACTGTTTAAAATTATGTGGCTATTAGGAAGGTTAATCAGTCATCAGACATTAATGGTTGCTTCCGCAATATCCTGGGAGGCTAAATATTGCAGAGAATTGAACAGGGAATTGCAAATTGTAGGTAGAATTGCTGAGCTGGAAAGATCGTTATGTTAAAGAATTAATTTAGTTTGGCTAGTATGGACTAAAATGTTCAATTTATTTGTTAAAGGAAAACTCCAGGCACCTTAATAGCTTAATTGAAATAAAGTTGTTATGGTGCCAGGAGGTCCCTGGCGTTGGCTTTTCCTCAGGGTTTAAGCCGTTGATAATCCTAATGTTTTGAATCCTGCTCCATGTAGATCCATCCATCTCCTTCCACTAATCCTTCACGTTAAAGGACCACTAAAGTCACCAAGGCCACTTCTTCTCCTGTCCTTCTAACCCTGCAATGTAAAAGACTTCAGTGTTTACATTGAGGGTTAAATGCTCTTCTAGTGGCTGTCATACAGTAAAACCTGGTCATGTGACCAGGAAGCCCTTGTAAGAAAGCACTTCTACGGAGAAGCTTGGATGCATGTGGGGAGCTCGTAGCGCATGCGCATCGGTTCCCTAATGCCTCTCTATAACGTGCGTTTTAAATCGGGACTGGGACGCGATACATACTTGTATTCTGAATTCCTCAGCGTTCCTTTACATTTCTGCCTTCATATAGAATTGACGAGAATATGCAGAGAAGTAAAAGGTATTTCTCCTACCCATCCCCATTATTTCCTTTTTTTTTCTTTCAATAATCGATCTAGTTGTTCCAAATGATGAACAGTGAATCCTTTATTATTTTCAAAGATCCTTTTTCAGTCTGGCAGTGTACCCTGGACTGATGTTGAGCTTAGCGCTCTACTTTAACTAGTATTTTTCAGTTTGAAGTTCTGCAACTTTCAGGTTTGGAACAAAGCAGTGCAGATCGAATTCACCTTCACTTTACCTTTCTGCAACTGTCTTTTATGTTTAATTCTGAGAAGAGATGGCTTTGAAGCTTCCACTCTTGAGTAAGATGTCTGCATTTGGACTTCGAACTTGAATAATGCGATCTTTTTTTTGAGCATAATGATCAAACAACCAGATGCTTTGGATCGTTGTTTTCAAACAGCCGATATTCCTTTGAGCCTGACACTTAGATGAGCATGGCTGGCTTTAAATTAGACACTTGCTACAGCATCGCTGCCTTGCAGTTGACACTCGGGCACAATTGCCTTCCTTGTTTGATGCTGTAGGACCTGACACCATTTTGCCTTTGGGCTGGACTCCCTACACCCCTGTGAGCCGATCAGTGTCATTGCTTTGTAGTTAATTTGGTAGCAGCAGGCGCCTTGATAGTCCATTGAAGTCAATCTTGAGACCTCCTGTTCTGTCTATGGGAGATGGCTGATCTGCTGCAGAGTTATTTAAACTGGTTCAGCATATCCAAATAGTACTGGAAAGTTCAGATGTCTGTAGTGGTCTGTTTGGCCTGTGTCCTATTTTTCATTGTTCTGCCGGATGCCAATTGAATCTAGAATGAAGCTTTTACTGTAAATGCATTGTGTTTCTGTGACAGAACTCTGAGTGTTCATTAAGGGTGTCTAACACTTCCAGTGTTGTAGGGATAAGGTCACTGGACTTCCTTACTCATCGCTGGACACTAAAAATGGTTGTATATTGTTCTGGAGAAATTAACAGTAAATGCACCAATTAGACCATGCTTTGCATCCTAGTCTTTTTATAGAAATGCAAAGGATTTTGCTACGAGAATGTGGGAAGAGATACAGCCATCATAGTCCTAGTTTATGCCTTCATACTAACAGTATGTACACAGTAACATATTTTACTCTTTTATATATGTTTGTGAAAATAGGAAAATAGAGCAGTTATATTGGCACAGTTTGTTTAGACATCCCAGTTTGCCGTGTTTACCTTTCTGCTTCAAAAATATTGCTGAATGCAATGTCATGACTACAGCTGAAAGCTAATACTTGGACTACGCCTCCCAGAATCCTTTACTGTGTCCAAATAAGCATTGCTTTGTTTGCATCTTTTTGCATATTATAATGCATTATCTATATTCTGCATGAATAAGACTCCATGTCATTGTGCAGTGTCCTTTTAAAGATACTAAACCACATTATGCCTTGTCTATCTTGATTATGCCTTGGGTTCCCTGGTGCTTTTCATTGATTTTATATCAAAAAGAGGACATAGTCTTAAATTAGAGGGGCAAAGGTTCAAAAATAATATCAGGAAGTATTACTTTACTGAAAGGGTAGTGGATGCATGGAATAGCCTTCCAGCTGATGTGGTAGAGGTTAACACAGTGAGTCCATGGAATAGGCATAAGGCTATCCTAGATATATGATAAGGCCAGGGACTAATGACAGAAAACTGAGCAGACTAGATGGGCCACATTATTATCTATGTTTCTATCAAACTGTTTAAAAACAATGTGATATAAATTAGATGACGTTCTAGGACTGAGGCACCAACCTCTCTTTGGCTACATTGATGATATTGAAGCCAGCCATTCTCCTTATTCATTTCCACAAACATGATTAGCTGAACATCCTTGGGATGTGTAAGCCCAGCACTCAGACAGTAACTGTTGTCCGGGTTAGATTATGGGAGCTTACTCTAAGAATCAGTGAAGATAGCAATTCAGGAAAAAATGTAGAAAATTGGGACAAGTTGAATCTCTGATAGCCAAGAACATGAAGTGATGTTGAAATAAATCAATTTGCTTACCATATCCAAGTCTATTTATTTATTTTGTTGCAGAATTGTTGAACTGAAAGAATCCGCCTCTGATGTTAACCTTGGCTTTAACAAGATTAATGAAATTTCTCTCAATCTCTGTATGCTTCTAAAACTAACACACCTTGATATGCGGTGAGTCCCATTCCTGTTTGCCATTAAGATATAGGAGTGTAATTTATTCAAGTCATGTTTAACCCACAGGTCAGTATTTAAAATAGATTGTGCCGGTTCATGCTGTTCTATTGACTTTTTTTTATTTTGACAGTTCATGCTGTTCTATTGACTTTTCTGATGCAATCATGTATCATTTCTTAAAGTGATGTCTATCTGTACTTTCATAGATGACTTCTGTATTGCTTATATTGAGTTTTTTTTTAATGTATACTCAACTGCATCTCTATGTTATTATTTCCCTGTATCCTTCTTATTGAAAACCAATAAACAGAAAAAAAGAGATTGTCCAGTGGTTGAAGCAGGTACATTTTATTCCTCAGGCCCAGGGTAACTGCTCACAGTTAGATGCATATTGTAGTTGCGCTGTCTTAAGTGCGATATAAATTTACTAAATAAGTGACTGATATAATTTTAAAATGTAACATTGGCTCTCCCAGAATAATGTCGTTATTTGAATCCACTGCATTATCCCACAGAATAGCAAAATGTCATTTGTACAGCAAACTCCTATGACTATAGATAGCTTTATGTGTAGGTTCTAGATTACCAACTCTGCGCTGTCACTGCAGATCAAGAAATGCTGGACCTGCTAGCCATGAGGTGTATTTAACAATGTTTAATGCTCAGCAGAGCTATAGTTCCAGTAAAGCTTTACAAATTGTATCACTTGTCAGGAACATAAATTTAACAGAAATTGCCTTGGGATATAGCACAGCTGAAATGGCTAGCTTGTGTTCAGTGTCCTGCAGGATTGTTCTGGTCAGATTGCTGGCGTGGAAGAGACCAGTCAGGTAGTTTTATGGTACCTCTAATATCTGAGCTAAATCTTGAACATACCTTAGATCTGTATTGGGTGTTTATCTCTCTAAGTTCCATTTATAAACACACTAGGAAACATTGTAAGCCTGTGCGAGATATAATGTTACTCCAAGCACCATGACCATGGCAGTGATTTGAAGTGGTCATGGTGCCTGGAGTCTGTATGCAGCACATTAAAATGCTGCACATAAAGAGTTTCATCTTATGTTACCGCAGGTGTAATTCCTCCTCCAGCAGCGCCATTGGGACGTCATTAGCCGGGGCAGAACAAGCCAATTCTGTGTATATTTCTATGCGCAAACATTCATTCATTGCCTGAGAGCAATCAACTGATGCTCTGAGCCAATGAATGACCAGAAGGATCGGAATCTGGCCTAAGCAGAAGCTGTGTGTCATTAATCCCACTTCAGGGCAGCCTCCGCGCCCGGTGGGACCTAGGTAAGAGGGCACACTGTGGCAAAACATTTTGCCCCATTAACAGGGAACTATGCCAAGGTACTCCTGGCATCGTATCAACTACAGCTGACATTATTTTATGCACTTCTTTGTAAAATGCATTAAAATGTATGTTCAAGGAAAAAAAAAAGTTAAATATTAAAAAAATTAAAAGCAATACTCACGTTTTCAGTTCCTGCATTTTCTGCAGATCTCGAGACTTCTGTAAGGAGCTCTCGCCTTTCTATAGCAATACTGAACTTTAATCTGTACATATTGTTTTATTGGCACAGCAGGTGTTTCTGGGAATTGTAGTTCGGGATTCAGATTTTTACTTTAATAAGTGGACAGCTGTACTACAACCTCCAGATACCAAAATCTCGACATCGAGTATCGCAATATATTTTAGCAGAGTAGTGATTGAGAAAGAGGACATAATTATCAAATTTATTAAACAAAACTAATTGTTAAAAACCTAAATCACTTTAGAGGTTATAGTGCCAGGAGAGCCCTGGCACCCATTGGAAGTAGTAACAATATTTGCTAGCGATTTGACTTCTTACCTGTGGTCTGCCATGCGCTGCTCCCTGGCTCTGCTGTTCCGGTCCTGAGAACCTTAGTTAGCAAATGGCTTGACTACTTGCACTGGGGGGATGCCAGGGCACTCCTGGCACCATAACCACTGCAGCACACTATAGTGGTTATGGTGCTTGGTTTGTTCCATTAATAATAATTAAAAAAAAAAAATACAAATATTTAGAATAGTTATCTCCACCCTAACCTCCTCATTGCATGTAGGTGACTTGATTGCCTGTTTAGCCCAGGAACATCCGCAAATGCTGAAAGGCTCCTAGCCTGTCTATCCGTGGCAAAGTGCAACCTGTGTCTGAATCCAAGACTGAAATCCACAACATAAATATCTTCTTTAATTTTAACAGTAATTTCCATAGTTTTTTTTTTCCCTATAATAAAGCTTATAGTGTTCTTTATGGACAAATGTATTCACTTTTCTTGATATGATTTTTGAATGTATGTGATCTCCAGGCCCTGATTGCAGACACAAAGCAAGGCTAAATGGCCATGATTTACTCAGATGAAGTTAATTTTCCTGTTTATTAATGTCATATTGTGCTCTCAAAGCTCTTGTTTACTTTTTGGTTGCACTCAGATTCTGGAATATAGTCCTCAGAAAACATTTGCCTCTTCACATCCAGATTCCCAAAAGAAGGTCACACTACTTTAAACAGATGGGAGGTGGATATAGGTGGGTCTTTTAATGGAGAGGAGAGGACAAAGCTGATAAATACCTTTTTAAGGAACCATTGGGTGTGCCAACCAAATAGATATGCATCAGTAAAGTCATTTTCTGCTGCCAGTTTACTCCTTGAAGTCTGTCCCTTCTATTCCAATCAGTGTCTTCATATAATTTGAGCTGCACCACTGACATTTTACATAGATTGTGGCTTTGTGTTCACATTCAACCTTCCTTTAAACAAGTATATACCTCGATCCAGGAAGTGCTGGGGATCAGACTCCTATTTTACTCCCAGAATTCTGCTCCTCAAATCTGTGGGCCTCCTCTGGAGTTCTTAGTTCTTTACCATATTATTGCCAAATACTAGAAACGAGTCAAAACTCCATGAAGCTTCAGCAACATATTCAAAATACCTACAAACATCTAGGACCAGCCAGGAAAAGCTATCTTGTATTTGAAAAACTGGATAAATTCTCATCTTTAATTCTATTTGTGTTGAGCTAGACTTTTCTATTCCATTCCAGTTAAGAACCTGGTTTGTGAGTATTTATGATTATTTGTGAGTTATGTTAAATTTAAGTAAGATGTCCTAATTCAAAATGCGTATGTGGATTAAACCCGACATGCTTTAATCTGTATCTGGATTAACCCCTACATGCTTGAATCTAATTCAAAATGCTCCAGAGGCTAGCTGACCTTGTAAATGTTATTCACCTGTTTACTTTGCAGTTTTACCCTGGTTCTGTGTTTTAAAAAAAAAAATACAAAATTATTTCTGTACCCTGTTATCATTTTAAAGCAATAAAGTTTTATATTCGAAAATAAATGTTCCACTAATTTTGATCTTTCACCCGATGCAGAAACAATCTTTTGATGTCACTTCCTGAAGAGATGGAAGCCATGACTCGTCTGCAGTCTGTGATCCTTTCTTTCAACAGGTTTGTACCTTGAAAACAAATTGCTGATCTTATGTGTGATTTCTGACTGCATGTGAAATGAACATAGCGTAATTTCAACCTGAGAAGCATTTGTTGTCTATTTGTGGCATGTAAGGAACAATGGATACTTTATACTGGCAGTAGTAAAATGAAAATATCTGTATTGCTGGCCATCATTGTTCGGGAGATTTAGTCGATTGATTCAAATGACAGTATTGCCTTAACTTATTTATGTGCTAAAAAAACTAGACCAACAGCCTATTTCTTATTCATAACACAAATTCTATCTTTTTTTGGTAGTATCTGTATTTTTATAGTTTCGATGATTGTCCAATGTTACATACACAATGTAATGCTCGTTAAATTATTCCATCTGTTGTTCCATCTGTTGTTGGAACCTTTCTCTAGAATTGTGCTACTTCTGTATATCTCAATTTTTTGGTGCAATCATTGTTGTGGACTTAATATTGTAAGGGGCTCTGTCACCATCAGGAGTCTTTGCATATTTTGCACAACCCACAAAAGTAACATCGCCAGGAAGGAGGAACAGAAGGTAGTTAAAGGGACTCTATACTCACCACAACAACTTTAGCTTAATGAAGCAGTTTTTGTGTATAGATAATTCCTCTGAAATTTCTCTGCCATTTAGGAGTTAAACCAATGTTGTTTCCATTTATGCAGTCCTAGCCACACCACCCCTGGCTGTGACTGACACAGTCTGCAAGAAAACAAAATGGTTTAATTTTCAATCAGATGTTTTTTTTAAAAGTGTTTATCCCCTGCTCTGTAAATTGAACTTTAACCCCTTAAGGATGGAGCCAAATGTACACGTTGTGAACAAAACAAAATGTAAACAAAACCTGGCATTTGCGCTACATGTCTGTCCAACCGTAATTCACCTCATAGTAAATGCACCCACCCTTATTATATATCATTTTATTCAGGGGAAACAGGGCTTTCATTTATTATCAAATATTTAGCTATGAAACATAATTTAATATGAAAAAATGGGAGAAAATATGTTTTTGTTTGATTTTTTTAGTTCTACATGACATTTTAACGGTCAATGTCATAATACTGTTTGCTTTTACTGCAATAAGATACACATATTTGTATTCAGTAAAGTCTCACGTGTAAGACAGTACCCCCTATGTACAGGTTTTATGGCGTTTTGGGAAGTTACAGGGTCAAATATGGCACGTTACATTTGAAATTGAAATTCGCCAGATTGGTTACGTTGCCTTTGGGACTTTATAGTAGCCCAGGAATGAAATTTACACTCATAATGGCATACCATTTGCAATAGTAGACAACCCAAGGTATTGCAAATGGGGTATGTCCAGTCTTTTTTAGTAGCTATTTGGTCACAAACACTGGCCAAAGTTAGCGTTAGTATTTGTTTGTGTGAAAAATGCAAAAAACGCCAATTTTGGCCAGTGTTTGTGACTAAGTGGCTACTAAAATAGACTGGACATACCCCATTTGCAATACCTTGGGTTGTCTACTATTGCAAATGGTATGCCATCATAGGGGTAATTTTCATTCTTGGGCTACCATAGGGTCTCAAAGGCACCGTAACCAATCTGGCTAATTTTAATGTGAAAAAAATGAAACGCAAGCCTTATATTTGACGCTGTAACTTTTGAAAACACCATAAAACCTGTACATGAGGGTACTGTTGTACTCGGGAGACTTCGCTGAACACAAATATTTGTGTTTCAAAACAGTAAAAAGTATCACAGCAATAATATTGTCTGTGTAATGCTGTTTGTGCGTGAAAAATGCAAAAAACGTCACTTTTACTGGCGATATCATCGTTGTAATAGATTTTACTGTTTTGGAACACTAATATTTGTGTTCAGCGAAGTCTCCTGAGTAGAACAGTACCCCCCATGTACAGGTTTTATGGTGTCTCGGAAAGTTATAGGGTTAAATATAGTGCTAGCAAATTAAATTCCCTTTACTTTCGGCATGGGTTGTCAGACAGGTCCTGCTAATTGTAATTAATTAAGATACCTAATTATGTAAAAATATTACATAAATATATATGTAGAATTAATATATGTGTGTATGTATATGTATGTGTATATATATATATATATATATATATATATATATACGTGTGTGTGTGTGTGTGTGTATGTGTGTATGTATATATATATATATATCAAATTACACATAAACTGATACTGATTAAATATATATATATATATATATATATTATAAAAAAAATTAAAATGTAAATACGTTAAAATAAAATTAAAAAAATAATTAAAAATAAATAATTAAAAAATATATAGATGTGTGTTTCGTTCTAACTGTATTGTGAAATTAATATATATATATATATATATATATCTATATCTATATCAAAATACACATAGAACGAAATAATATATATATATATATATATATATATCTATATATCTCTATCTATATCCATAAATATATACGTATATATCACTATATATATACTTAGAATATATATGTGATCTAAGTAGGGACTGCCGGCGACCGGGTAAGTACCAAAAGACCGGAGGGCGTACTATTACGCCCGGTGGCATTTACAGCCCCTTAGAATAGGGTGTAATAGTACGCCCTCCGGTCTGAAGGGGTTAATTACATACAAGAAGCTCCTGCAGGATGTGACAAGCTATTAACAGAGCAAGAGATAAGAAATTCTAAATTAAACAGAATTTGCTATAAAGGAAGTGTAAACATTAGATACCTCTTTATAAGAAGTGTTGGAAGGCCGTGTAAGTCACATGCAGGGAGGTGTGACTAGGGCTGCATAAACAAAGTGATTTAACTCCTTAATGGCAGAGAATTGAGCAGTGCGACTGCAGGGGCATGATCTATACACCAAAACTGCTTCATTAAGCTAAAGTTGTTTTGGTGACACTAGTGTTCTTTCTTCAGTTAATGGCGCTTCATCCGCAAGAATGCCTGTTTTCCACTGTTGTTGAATTTACAAAACTTGATATAAGAAGAGTAGTGTCCACTTTATCTAATACAATTCTTAATGTCCTGGAATTTCAATGTTGTACCTATAAAGTCAATATAAGAATTTCATAAAGATATTTTTTTTTTTTTTTTTTTTTTTTTTAAAGGGACACTATAGTCACCTGAACAACTTTAGCTTAATGAAGCAGTTTTGGTGTATAGAACATGCCCCTGCAGCCTCACTGCTCAATCCTCTGCCATTTAGGAGTTAAATCCCTTTGTTTATGAACCCTAGTCACACCTCCCTGCATGTGACTAGGGCTGCATAAACAGAAACAAAGTGATTTAACTCCTAAATGACAGTGAATTGGGGAGTGCAATTTGATCTATACACTAAAACTGCTTTATATAGCTAAAGTAATTTAGGTAACTATAGTGTTCCTTTAAGTAAGCAGAAATTATATTGCAGTGATGGGGTTGCTTCAAGTACATTATTTTTTTTCTTGCCAGGCAGGTCAATATATGCACCATGTACAATAATCTTTCCACATTTTCCAAGCCTTATTTATAAATATTACATTGTGTTTACAAAATTCTTGTTTCATCTATTAAATACTATTAGGAGATCAGAGTGGTTTAATTATTCATAATAATGTTTTTGTTCAAGGTTTAAAACCTTTCCAGATGTTCTCTACCGCATGCCAACTTTGGAAACAATTCTTATCAGCACTAACCAGATCGGCTTTGTAGATCCTCTTCAATTAAAGAAGCTGACCAAACTTTCCACTTTGGATCTTCAGAATAATGACATTCTTCAGGTGCCTCCAGAACTTGGAAACTGCGAGAGTCTCAGGTGATTTACCTTTACATGCCTCAAGTACTCAAACAGCCATGGATATATTAACCATAGATTGTTACTGTCTGGTCTGTCCTATAATTGTTACCATTAAATAAGCATACTTGAGGACCCCTACATCTACTTTTGTATCCTTTGGGGTTGAGGGAAGCTGTACCATACAAAATGTGCATAAGATTGACCATAAAGTAGTCATATTTGTTGTCCTAAAACAAACGAAATTTGGAATAGAATTGGCATCTCTAGGACCTACTCAGTCCAAATCAGTGGATTTAAACACCACTACCCCAAGCCGAGAAGAGAGATTTGACTTGGCTCATCAGCTGTCATTTTTTTTTTAATTTTTTTTTTTATCCACAGAGCCCTTCATCTGGAGGGTAACCCATTCCGTAATCCTCGAGCAGCAATTCTATCTAAGGGAACGGCAGCCATCCTAGAATACCTCAGGAGCCGCATTCCTACCTGACCAGCCTTTAATCATGGAGAAAATTTAGATATTTTGCATGATCTATGTTAATCACAAGTATTGCAGAGGGCTTTTAATAATTGTGAATGACAAGACACTGGTTTCAACTAGCCTTTGCAGTTCTTCCAAAACGTCGGCTCGTGAAATGCATAGTAACACGTGTTTAGATACAAGCTGGACTTAGCAGACTGAATAGTGTGCATTGTAAGTAGTTTACAAATTCAAATAAATATTTCCATTTTGCTGTAAGTCTCGACACGCCTATGTATTGGATGTTTTTTTTAATGTTAAAATAAGCTGTTTTATTATGTAGTAGAAAGTACTTTTCATCCCTCACCATTTCCCACTGCTGCCATTCCACTTTGGCTGAGATAATCAGCCAATCCAATGCTTCTCCATAGAGAAACTTTGGTGGCCCGCTGCGGATGCACGGTAATTGCCATTCTGCACTAGTCAGCGTCTCCTCCCAGAGATGCATTATACTTTGAAGATGCCAAATGTCAAGACTCTGAATATTGCAAGTCCACAGTCTGACAACTTACCTGGGTCGCACGGAGTCCCTGCAGCTACATCTGGTGCGTCTGATCTTTTAGAGTAGTAAAAAGCAGGACCACACTCATTGGCGGAGAGTGTCAGCTGAGGAGAAATAAAACAGCTGTTGCCAAGGTAACCAACAGAACCAGTGAGTTGTTCGATGCTGCTAAAATGGTTTAACATCTTACCTTGGGACAGCACCAGGGCTATAATGTCTATGGTATTTAGAGCATTCCTTCAAGGCATTTACGCAAATACACATGTCTAGTAATGATTGTATTTATTATATATTATATTAGAGAGGCACACAATACAATCCATGCTAAAATGGATAGTTCATAAACTCACAATATAAGAAGCAGACCTGCTTTGATTTTTCCATAGGGTGACTGTCTTTTATATTTAAAGGGATACTATATTGCTAGGAATACAAAATTGTAGTTAGTTTTGCCATTTAGACTTAAATCGTGAGAATTCAAAGTTCAGGATTTCGGAAAAAATTCTTAAAATTTTAGTACATGTTTATTAGATTTTTTTTTTTGATTTTATTTTTTTTTTTTCAATGATTATATGCATTAAAAAAATATGCATATTTGGACAGTTTCCCAGTATGCTTTTTGGTAAACATTTCTAAACTATTAGCCATTTGTCCATAATTGTAAGTATTATCGCTCAACCGGGAACAAAAGAAAAACAAAACTAAATAATAAACAAAATACAAAGTACGAGCAGTTTGTACAATAATGTGACATTTTATTAGTTTTTGTACAATAGACTTCTTCTCCTTTTTGTATACGTTATTTAAAACACTTGAATACTGAAAAAAATTTGGTACATCAAAGCCGAAAAAAATTGGCTCTGCTATACCCTGCACAGCATTGATTTAGTCCCTGTATTTTTTTTGTATATACAGAAAGCATTTGCAAAATTCATCCTAAACACATTATACACCTTACCAATTTAATAAATCAATACATAGGTTAAACTGGAAGTATACACCTTGTCATGTGCAAAATAACGTAACGAAAATTGATTTCACTGAATCAATGTGTAAAATATAGCTTTTGTACTTCCTGCACATACAGTAAAGCAGCTTTCAATTTCAGTAAATCCTTTAAACTTCAAAAACGTGTATTACATTCACAATTTATTTTAATAAACTAGTAAATATTTAGTGCCTCAGCTTAATTTACATCCATCATATAAACTGAAAAGTACAGTTTTTATTTTTTTTAATAATATAGCATTTTTTTCACACATACAAAATGACAATTTTCAGAAATAATTTTAAGCTCAAAACCACAACTTTTCTTTAAAATAAATAAGTAAAAATGAAAAACAATATAAAATGGAAAGAAAAAGAAAAGAATTAAAGACCGCCACCTGCGTCAATGTTAAACATTTTCTTTTCGTAGTTTTTCGTATTAACCCTCTGGCCCCCAAACGGTTAAAATATTTATATATTTTATAGTTCTATATAAAAGTTTGGCTATTTTTCTAATAAAGCTAACAATGATCTGAATTTTATCACAAGTAGGAAAACTATTCAAATGTTCCTTCACTGTTATTCAAAATTTCACCATTGTTATAAATGGTTCGAAAAAAAGCATTTATGAAGTGTGAATGATTTTTGTAGCTTAAAAAACATACAAGAGACTGGGTTGTAGAATGATGCATCAAGAAATGTGGTCCCCACCTCCCCCCCCTCTTTAGGCGATATCATTTATTCACTAGACAGAACTAAGAAGAATTAACAAAGGAATTTCAAATATTAGGTAAAAAATAAATAAATACGGGTTTGGAAAAAAGTTTCCAGATTGTTTTGATTTAAAATTTTCAATTTCCTCTCTTAATTTTTACAATTATGTATTTACTGAATAAATATTTTAATTAAGAAGTATTAAAGTGGTTCATTCACTAAACAGCAAATAGTAATGATTTGAAAACTTATTTTCCAAAATGAGGCAAAAACAAAATACTTTTGACTAAAGCGGAATTCGAGAATGTTTGCAAATAAGCCCATATTGCTAACATTTTACAATTCGGCTTACATATCAGTACAATTACAATTTGTTGTTTACAGAATAAACTTTGTGTCTGTGCATTTTTATATTAAAATTACCAATTTTCCTGGGCAACAGATATTTAGGAGTTATTCCCTAAGCAATGAACTGCCAGCCTTCCAAACTGAATTCAAGATTCCTTTCACACAGTTTGACAAAACACTCTTTAACGAATACAGTACATTGTGCATGTTAACAAAAATGTGTCACAAATCTGTTACATTGTGACCTAAAACAATAGCAGGATCTTGCAATAGAGCATGTAGAACCTCTTCCTTATAATACAGGAGCTAGTGATTCACGCAGCTAGATATACAATTCCTAACACACACAGAAAAATAGTTAGGACTTGTATATATTTTAGGGCCATGCAGGTACAACAAGCAACTGCTCAACTTGTATAGATACAATGTAGAAAAGAAATATCAATGGGATGGGGGTTAGTGGTTTTAACCCCTTAAGGACCAAACTTCTGGAATAAAAGGGAATCATGACATGTCAGACGTCATGTGTCCTTAAGGGGTTAAACAAAATGCATTCCCAAAAGATTAAGCTTAGTTCTATTAAACTTATAGCGCTGACTCACAGAGCAGAAACAATTCTCCCCAGATGAAAATAAAACTTGTGGTTTGTTAAAGGAACCCTAACACATCCAGATCTTTGCTTTTAACTTGGTTTTGCAAGAAAGATGCCCATAGCATAAAGTCTAGACTCTCTATATGTTAAAAAATCTTAATTATGGGGTACAAGATGTAAAGAAAGATACTGAATTCACCGGGTGTTAATCCCTTATTGAAATCTGTTCCTGTGGCAAAAGCATGCATTCAACTGCACACATTCTGCAAATATGACATAGTGGCATTTTAGAATTAATACAATTTCTTCTCGGTCTTGGATCCAGCAGATTAGTCCCAGTTTAAAACCCCAGTTCTGTTTTTTCTGGTGACCCACTAGAGAAGGATTAACATTCCACGGGGCCCTATGCAGGTCACCAGTTTGGGACCCTTTCATTCTTTGCATAAGGATGGCTAATGGGGCCAAGCCAATGAATAGTTCCAAGGTCCCTGTCTAACCTCTGGACCCTAGGTAGCTGCCTAGGATCATCTTATGGTTAATCCTGCTCTGTAACCTGCTTCTAGGGCATGCACTCAGTGTGTGTAAGGGGGGGAGGGGGTGGCTGAAGAAACTTCCCTAGCTGAGAGGTGTGCCCCAAAATTCAATGGGACCCATTTACACTACGTTTTAAAATGTTAATTACTACCTTTCAAAGCTTGCATTGCTTTATTTTGGTTTGTATATTTGTTTAAAAGTGATTGCATTATCACAAGTATTGCACAGCATGGAACACTCGCTGTATGCATGTATTACACCTTTACATAATACATGCATTTTGCTTTAAGTTGTAACTGGAGCCGTCTCTGACTGGGTGTCTGGCAGGGTTAATTACTAAATTGAGAATTCAAATTGAATTCAAAATGGATTTCAAATATAAAGTCAAAATAGCCAAACCGGAAATATTCTCTAAATCAGTTGTAATTCCATTTCAGCTACTTAGGCCTTAAATGGGAAAATCACTTTCATTTAACTTTGAATTCTCCTTTTAGTGAATAGCCCTGATAGAAGCACTTTAAAATAATCCACAAGTTAGAGGAATGTGAGAGTGGTACGTCATCACGAAATGCACAAGAAGGGAAAGAGATAAAAGATTTTTTGGAATGTGGGCTGACGGTATTGTCTAAACAAAATCTGGGAATTGGGGGCACACCCAGAACATGCATTTCTGAGTTGTGGTGCTGCCCAAAAACAAAAACCAGTTAAAGGAACATTGCACACAAAAAAAACAAAAATGCAGTTTTACCTTTCACGAGGATACAAATCTACAGTTATAAATTAAACTCACACTGGAGACAGAGACCCACAGTACCTGTGACAATATTGTTTTATGTAACCTGATTAGATGGACTGTAGAAATGCAAGTTTATAATGTTGTTTCCGGTAAAATCCAACACTATCAACGTGTTAAAGCTCATTTCTGGAGTAAAACTCATAGGATTCAGAATCAAGTCTTCATACAGTTTAAACCATGGCTCCCAATAGTCCCAGGTTTTGTGAGACGCTCTCCCACTTTTGTTCCCTGGTGGCCTACGACTGCGTCACAGCACCCCAACATCTGTGGGTCCCACACCAATTCCAACATGGGAGATTTACATGGGACCCACAGGGGTGCTGTGATGCAGTGGTGGGCTTGATACAATGTAAATCACCATAACTGTTTGCTAAGATAGGTGATTTTAAATGGCCTTGTGAAATGTAAAACTGTATTTTTGTTTTTGTGTGTGAGAGTCCAGCAATATGGTTCTCAACATCTATGCCATCTAATCACGATTTGTTTTTAAATAAAAAGCTGACTTGACATCACTCTGGCAAGACCCAATCAAGGATACGCATGCATATGGAGGGCCGTCTTTAACGCGGGGCAAACGGGGCAGTTGCCCCGGGCCCAGTTGCTCCTGGGGGCCCCCAGAGCAGCTGCCCCGTGGGCCCCGCGATTTGAGCAGCCCCCAAGGACCTGGTAGTGCGGCTACACAGAGCTACACCAGCCGCACACTAAGGAGGCCCCCGGGTGGCCCATGCACTAAGGGCCACCCAGTGGGCATATGTCAGCAGGGGCCGCGCGTCACTTTCTCCCACCGGAGATCACAGCCGCGCGGGAGGAGAAAGGCAGGGAGGAGGGGAGTTCCAGAGGAGAACTCATCTGCCTCAGCCTGCCACTGGACCCCAGGGAATCCACCCTCCAGAAAAAGGTAAGAACCTTGAGGGTGGTTAAATGTATGTCTGTGTGTGTGTCAGTATGTCTGTCTGCATGTTAGTATGTCTGCGTGTGTGTGTGTGTGTCAGTATGTCTGTGTGTGTATTTATGTGTGTGTGTGTGTGTCAGTATGTCTGAATGTGTGTCAATATGTCTGCCAGTATATATTTGTGTGTCAGTATGTATCTGCAAATGTTTTAATATGTCTGTCTATGTGTGTATGTGTCAGTATGTCTGTCTGTGTTATTGTGGGTTGTGCATAATTGGGGTTTAGAGGGGGGGGGGGGGGGGAGGAGCAGGGCCCAAGAAGCCCAAGAAAATGCATTGCCCAGGGGTCCTAATCATATTATAGACTCCCTAGGTAAATGTCCTGAGTTCAGTTTGCGCCGCGTGAGACAGTCTGCTGCACTTGCTGACGATAGTTCCCAAGATGTGGGACACCAAGGAACAAAAGTGGGAGAGCGGGAGAGGTTCCCAAAAATAAGACTGTCTCACAAAACCTGGGACTATTGGGAGATATGGTTAAAATTGATGAAGACTTAAAGGACCACTATAGTGCCAGGAAAACACACTCTTTTTCCTGGCACTATAGTGCCCTGAGGTTGCCCCCACCCCTCAGGGTCCCCCTCCCACCGGGCTCTAGGGGGTGGAAGGGGTTAAACTTACCTCTTTCTCCAGCACCGGGTGGGGGACTCTCCGCCTCCTCCTCGGCTGAATGCGCATGCGCGGCAGGAGCCACGCGCACATTCAGCCAGTCCATAGGAAAGCATTCACAATGCTTTCCTATGGACGCTGAGGTCTTCTCACTGTGAAAATCACAGTGAGAAGTGCGGAAGCGCCTCTAGCGGCTGTCAATGAGACAGCCACTAGAGGCTGGATTAACCCTAAGTTTCTCTGAAACTGCTATGTTTATAGAAAAAAAGGTTAAACCTAGCTGGACCTGGCACCCAGACCAACTCATAGAATTCATTTAATTCTGAATCCTATGAGTTTTACTCCAGAAATGTGCTTTAACACGTTGATAGTGTTGGCTTTCATTGGAAACAAAAATATAAACTTGCATTTCTACAGTCCATCTAATCAGGTTACATAAAACAATATTGTCACAAGTACTGTGGGTCTCTGTCTCCAGTTTGAGTTTAATTTGTAACTGTAGATTTACAATACATGCTACGTTTTGTAACATTATTGGAAATTCTACCGTTTACTTTTAATTCTATAAGAAGTCTGCATTTTGTATTAGATTGAAGGCTGCTATTGTTATATTAACAAAGAAACACTATAGTGACCAGAACAACTAGAAACATAGAATGTGATGGCAGATAATAATCATTCGGCTCATCTACTCTGGCCAATTTTCTAAATACTTTCATTAGTATCTAGCCTTATGCCTATCCCCCCGCATGCTTAAACTCCCTCACAGTGTTAACCTCTACCACTTCAGCTGGAAGGCTATTTCATGCATCCTCTACCCTCTCTGTAAAATAATACTACAGCTTAATGTAGTTGTTCTGGTGAGTATAATCATTACCTTCAGGCATTTTCATGCAAATACTGCGTTTTTAGAGAAAAGGGCAGTGTTTACATTGCCCCCTAGAGACACCTCCAGTGGCCACTCCTCAGATGGCCAGTGGAGATGCTTCCTGGCTTAGTGTTGCACAGCAGGCAGCAGTGCCGTTTAGTGTCTCCACGCTCTGCATGGAGACGATGACATTTTCTCATACAGATGCATTGATTCAATTCATCTCCATGAGGAGGTGCTGATTGGCCAAAACGGCGCTTGGACTCCTCCCCATCCCGCCTTCATGACGATTTCCATATGCGAAAGCATTGGATTGGCTAAAAATGGTAAATTCTGATGATGATGATGATGATGAAATAAGGTAAGTTTTAACCCCTAAGGGGGGGGGGAGGAGAGGGGTAAGCCACATAAATGGTGGTTTTAACACTTTGGGGTCAGGAATACATGTTTAGCAGTGGGCATATTTCAAAATACGGACAGTGTTAAAATGTGTCTATGGTAATACCTTTAGTAATCATGATATTCACAAATTATACGATTAAAAATATATATATAGTCACTGAGAGAAAGAATTATTTCAGTCGATACAATTAAATATAAAAAAAATAGGAGTTGCAAAATGCAATAATTACGAGATTCGTACATGACAGATCTCCACAAGCACATGGCGAGAATAACAGAGACACTGATTGCGCTTTATAATCTCAAAGAGAGATGTTGCTATAATAATCTACAGGCATGCATTTAACCAAATTGTCTTCTCAATACTAGATGCTTTTAAATTAATTATTATTCCAATGTCTATATAAATGATCAACCCACACAATGACTCTTCTAAATTACGTTGGGGTTAAGCAATAAATGTTTAGCAAGGAATTCAGGATGAGAAGATTTAAGAATCTGTATTCTAGCCTACCTTACACAAAGGCTTGTACACACAGAAACCTACACACCTTATCAGAGGATCGAAAAAAGGCTTTCAGAATTCTCGCATTCAATATATGTGTTACAATAATATCAGAATTACACAATAAAACAATAAATTGCCCCAGCTGTGTCTAAAAGCATGATTGCCTGTACACCAACAGATTATTATTTTCAACATAAAGTGCTATCTGTTAAAAGAATTGTCAAAGGCTTGGAGGACGGGACATTGCCATTTCTGTATAATAATCTAGTGAACTCACATAAGCCAAATTTAAAAATATACTTCAACCATTGGTCAACATTTACACTTTTCAACTTGTGCACAATCCGTGATGTTTTATAAAAGCATTTTCATCAGATGATTTATGGTAACTCCTCGTGTGAATTTGTACTTTTTAAAAAATCATGTATTTTGCCCAATTATGATTTTTCAATAAATTCATATAATGAAAAAAAAAATGCTTATATCTTAATGTAAAATACCACATCTATACATTTGTTCCTAATTTGGCTGATAAAAATATGTATTATCTAGAGTACCACTATGTCATTTTGCCGAGGATAGAAGCATTTAATACAAAATATAATTTGAGAACAATTTGGGTAATCAAAAATGTACATTTGTTTTTTCAGGCAGCTAGATCTTTTGGGCTTTTGTATGTTTTTAAATTTTGACAAATTCTGCTTGTTTTCTCACAAATCAGTGAACCCCCTAGAACAGTGATGGTGAATTCTGACACTGCAAATGTTTGTGGACTTCATTTCCTATAATGCACTATAGGTTAGACATCACTGGTCTGGGCTTCTGGGTGCTAGCATTTACTATCTGCAATCAAGATTTAAAATTATTTTAAAGTTTTCTGCATTTTCCTCCTAGAAAGCAACAAAAAATACATAATATAAACTTGTAAATAAAAATAATAAATTAATCTGCCAGTTTACAACTGGGTCAAACGTATACAGTGCAACTATGTATCTGAATCACTTTTATTGAACATTATCCACATAAGCGCTTGGAAATATATAGAAGTATTCTTGATTAATTAAGCCTAAAATAAAGCAAACCACATGCCTTCGAAAAGCTAACAGTGCTCAAATCTCTGTCTTCGTTGCATCAAAAAAATCATAGAGATATTTTATAAATATTAAATAATTCAATTTCAGCTGCGAAAGGAGCATTACATGCAATGGAGTTTACTGATGGAGTTTGATGATGGGGGTAAGAGATGTTTTAACAGAGTCATGACAATATTGATACAGATTCCAAGATTCATTCTAAAGGGTCATTCAAGAGCAAAGTTCGAGAAGTGGAACATTTAATTGGTTTTCATGTTGATTGTTCTAAGAGAAGCACAATGCCCCAGAATTATTCCTTATACAAGAATCCCTTAGACCAGTGGTTCCCAAACCAGTCTTCGTGGTCCACCAACAATCCAGGATTTATGTATTTACCTTTTTTATTCCAGTGGAAATGCTGACAAAACCTGCACTGTTGCTGGGTCATGAGGACTGGTTTGGGGACTCCAGATGAGTCTTAGAACCATTGGCTACGTGCAGACCTTGAGACATTTGTTTGAATGGTGGCTTGGATTTCTTCTCCTTCATGTTCCCTCTAATAATGGTTTAAACTATGTTTCATAAGTGACTTGTTTGTAGTCATATTCAAGAAAATGAAGAATTCAGGGTCTTGGTTGGCAAGTAGGAAATTATTTTACATGATAATTTGTTCAAGTTTGTTCTACTAATGGAGGCAAGGGAAGGGGGTGGGAAACAAAACCCTAATTATTGGAGTAAAGGTGCTTGAGTAATAGGGACATATTTTCATTTTTTTGGGGATTGTGTGGTTTAGGAGTGTGAGTTAATATACAGTTAGATGTCCAGGAGCTTCTGGCACTTTTGGCACTTAGGAACATCCCTGGTCCAGGAGGGTCAGCAGAGTGGAAGAACATGTGTATCCATAGATGAGCTGGGCATTGATTGATCCTCTTATATATAGCCTAGGAGTAATAACCCATCCTCTCATTTTACCAGGAATGGAAGGAAGGGGTGCTGGGATCTCAAACACATTGTATGTATTTTAGAGAGCTGAGCATTCATGATTTCCACTGCAGGGTCGGGTTTGTGCATGTTTGGTGAGATCTGAGACTAAGGAAACATTTTTGTTGAGGTGGCTAGCATAAACTCAAGGTAAAAGAAATGTACATGGGTTTTGTAACACTTTGCATGATCTTAACCTCAGCACAGAGCATTTACAGTTTCCTGTCTTTTTAGTTTCGTATTTAGTAAAACCTTCGAGGTCAATGGATGCCTTAGTGGGGAGCAATAATTAACACCACCGCCATCACAATATTTTTTTAATGACATTTTACTTTATTTAACACCCCAGGTATGATGGATGAGAGGGGCTGGCTGGCCTACCATGGGGCTGGATGGCTGTGTGCCATGTTCCATCTAAGGAGTGATCCAGCACTAAAAAGCAATTAGCAAAGAAATATTTGATTTGATGTTTTCTTATAATAATTTTTTTATTGAACGTATTCTCTGGGCATCTAAACATGTGTAAGGCAATGGATAGGCTAGTGCTAGATATGCTGAAGGTTATTTTTTATTAATATTCTTTTATGTTATTTATTTTTCTAGCAATAATTAGTTTTGTTCTATATGGCATTTTTTGCCATATTTTTCGCCAAGTTTTGTCATTATGGTCAAATAGCACTAGCATACATAATGACATGTAGACAGCTGACAATTAACCACAACGTCTATAGATAGTGATGACTAACTGAGTCACTTTCAGGTCTGGGATGGGAATACTGATGACGTTACAGAACTTCAAGATTTGCAGTATGGGCAGGAACTTCAAATGTGAGTACGTTTTTATTTTGTAGTTAATATTGCTTTATTTTTTTAAAGGAACACCACAACACCATTAACATACAGCAAGCTTTTGTGATTATGGTGTTAAAAGTGGCCTGGCACCAACCCCACCTCAAGCAGTCGAAATGTTTTAGAAGAGTTTAACCACTTACCTGCGGTCTGCAGGTGCCGATCTCCAGCTCCACTACTTCATGTAGAGACCCGGAAGCTCCTGCTCCAGTGATTGCTCTGAGCCCTGCAGTACAGAGTTATCTCATTGGCTAAGAGCATCCAGTGATTGCTCTGAGCCCTGCAGTTAGGAGTTATCTCATTGGCTGAGAGCATCCAGTGATTGCTCTGAGCCCTGCAATATGGAGTTATCTCATTGGCTGAGATCATCCGGTGATTGCTCTGAGCCCTGCAGTTAGGAGTTATCTCACTGGCTGAGAGCATCCAGTGATTGCTCTGAGCCTTGCAGTATGGAGTTATCTCATTGGCTGAGATCATCCGGTGATTGCTCTCAGCCCTGCCCCACCAGATCTAGCTGAGACACAGAGCTCCTGGCACTCTGTTAGGAGTAGTGGAAGCAGACAGGCCAGGTAAGAGGTCAACCCATTCTATGTACATTACTGGTATCATTACTGGTATCATAAACACTATAACGAGCTTTAGTGCTAATGATGCTTGGAGTGTTGCTTTAATTCAATATCTATATAATGCAGAAAAAAATGAGTTAGCTCCATCGGGGATCATCTCTTTAATTATTAATGATAACACTGCTTAGTGAAATGATTCCTGTAAATGCTACGGATGTGCATTATGAGCAGATATGTTAATAATCTGAGAAAATCAGGCTGGAGATTACCTACCCATTATGATACTCCACTGTTTCTGATGAATATTTGGGAGTCGGAGAGACTAACCTCAACTTTTTGTGTTGTGAATAACCCTCTAGTATTGTCCTGGGATTCTGTATATATAACACCTATATAGGTTATTTTCAGTAAGGGCTCATTTGTCTCCAAGCCACCAGCCAGCCCCTGCTTTCTGACTCATTAAAACTACCCCCATCAACTCATCCAGAACCCCTGTCTAATATGAGGGCCTGTCAAATGCATTAACGAGAACACTGCCAAATGGGCAAGCAACATATTGCTAAAACACGCATTGCTTGTCGAACTGGCAGTGAAAAAAGTTAATCTGAATTGGTTTTGTTTAAATCCAAGGAAATAATTCTATACATTTATGATTAGTTCTATAAGGCAAGATCATCTATTTCATATATAAAAAAGGGATTAATTCAGTGTACATCTAAATCTGTATTAAATACTTTCTTATCAATTAATTCATTAGTTAAGAAAATATTATTTTGCTTTGTAATCATCTTGTATAGAAGTCAAAATATGACTTGCAATTCCTTCTATTTATTTTTTTATATTCTATATAAAAGGCATATACAATTTTGAGGCAGTGTTTCATAATAATTTGAATATCAGATCAGCATCTGTGCTTTCTATGCTCTCAAAAATTTGAAATCCACATATTTATTTTTTATAAAACTGCACCGACACACAGCCTCAAGCTGACAGATAAACCCTAACAATATCCAGATAATTCTGCTATTTATACAGTGAACATCAGAAAATCCATATTGACACATCATTTACATTTGGCAGTAACATTTGCCATTGATCCAGCAATTGGCAAAATTGGTTTCCTATGTATAAATGTAATTATTTGAAGATAAGATCTGTCTAAATGATATCTTTACTGTTTATAAAAATATTTAGACAGTAAGCTCACGTTGAATTACTAGATCTACTGTAGTCTGAAAACTCTTCAACAGCGAAACTGCCTTCTCATGTTCCATGTGTACAAAATTGTGTCCGTTTGCCTGTAAGAAAAAACACAAAAGAGGAACAAGTTATACATCTCATTACAAGCAAGGAATATGTGCTATGCTACAACAAATCCCATAAAGCTTTATCAGCATGTAGGCCAGCAAAGCATCCTAGGGATTGTAGCTCTAAATATTTAACTGCTGTATAAATTGGATCCAAACAGGAAGCCTCCAACCTAACAAGTAACATTTTATCCATTAATGGGATTTGCAAATGTGAAAATATATATGAAAAAATATAATTTTTTTTTTTTTTTTTAAGATTTTTTTGGTCAATGTAGGTTCCTCTCTAATGATAGCTCATTGGTAGAGTAGCAATGTTTACTTTCTAGCAGTTCAACCAGATTTAGTCATTTGTTTTTAATTTTCACATATTAATACAAAGAAAGGACCCAAATAGTTAGGTCAGCATGTAAACGTCTCGAGAGCAAACTCTAATAATGAGTAAATGGGAACAGAATTAAACAGGTCATATGAAGTCCCTGAGTGCAGGGCTAGAGATAGGTCAACAAAAATTAAAACATCTGGGCTAATGGTTAAGAGAGCAGTAAAGAAACTTCAAAAAGGAGAGGTAGAAGGGAATTGATCCCCGGCCATGAGAGCAGGAGGTGGGTTCCCTCACCCTCTCCGCCCTCCCCTCCACCCCCCAAAGGTTATACATTTGCCTGAACAATATGTTCAGGCAGATTTAGTGACTTTTTTTAATACAGTTAGTAGGCCCCCAAACAATGGAACAGCCCATTAGGATGATGGCTGTTCCCCGCTGGCTTTTGTCATGCCATCCGTCAACTGTGAATTGTCGTTGAAGCAATTCTTGTTACAATGTGGCAAGTGCATCATTAAACCTAGTTTGATTGCTGCAACATTACCCTGAAATGGCTGTATCAAGGCACACCGTTAGGTGAGATTATATTCCTAAATGACCCACAGAGCCCTGTTAACAGAGGCACATTGTGTTGACATTTTTTCATCAAACCCTATTATGTTGTTAATGACCTGAATTTATTTTTATCTGTCTTTTAAACTGATTTTTTCACCACGTTTTGGACCCTGTACCAGTTTTCTAATTCTTTACTGTTGGCAAACATCTTGGTCTGCTTGAGGTTTCATTTGTCTCCTACTTTGATTTGGCTGGTGATAAAAGTAGCTCTTTCTGCAGGGAATTACTTTGTTAGTTTAACTCCATGGGATTTATTACTAAAACAGTGAATTGCAGTGAACCCAATACCTTATTTATATATTATCTACAAACATTATAGTTATAGGCTGCTTGATATCAATGTCTCACTCAAATACAGAGAGAGGATTATAACAGAGATGTTTTTACACTCAACATGGAAACCAACCTTGGACAATTGACAGATATGATTTAAAAGTATGATCTTCAATCCTCGTTATATTTACCCCACACAGCTAACATTGGCAAATAATTAGTAAGTCTCTGCTGTACTGATATTCAGCCACTAGATGGCAGCTAATATTGTCAGTTTATGTTTAACAAGCATTACATATATTTATATATCAAGTTTCTTTTTTTCTCCAAAACATATCATCATCATTATTATATATTTATAAACAGTATATTGTTTTAAGGAAAGTTTAGTAATATTTGTATGCTTATATAAAGTGGTTTATTCACTAAATACTGGATTGTAATAGCAAAAATCTGAAATGCTAGCTATAGTCATGGTTTTATTCAAAACCCAATAACGGTTAACGGGTACTCCAACAATCGTGACCTCTACAGCCTGCAGTAGTGGTTAAGATGCCAGCTGCCAATCCTCGGAAATGGGGCAAACCATTTTCCCTCACCTGGGTGCCTTCCGGACACCTTGGCTCCTTCATCCCTGGTGACACGCATCCCGGTTCTGCAGAGCGGCATATGCCAAAAGCTGTTGCTGCTTTTTATTAATTGGCTGATAGTGTCAGCCAGTGGCATACACGGGATCCATGGGGCTCCGGTGCGAAAATTGATCCGTGTCGCCCCCCCCATCCCCCCCGACGCTTACTCTGCGCAGGCCAGGGCCGCTACACATGACGGCGCGGGCACCTGGTGTGCACGCCAGTGCATGATACACATATACTTAAAGGACCACTATAGGCAGCTCAATGAAGTGGTCTGGGTGCCAGGTCCCTCTAATTTTAACCCAGCAGCTGAAAACATAGCAGTTTCAGAGAAACTGCTATGTTTCACTGAGGGTTAATCCAGCCTCTAGTAGCTGTCTCACTGACAGCCGCTAGAGGCGCTTCCGCGATTCCGTTGGACGTCCATAGGAAAGCATTGAGTAATGCTTTCCTATGGGCAGTTTGAATGTGCGCGCGGCTCTTGCTGTGCATGCACATTCGGAGCTGAGAGGCGGATCGGGGTGGAGAGTTCCCCAGTGCCAAGGGAGCCCGGCGCTGGAGAAAGGTAAGTGCTGAAGGGGTTTTAACCACACACACACACTCTCACGAACAGACACACACATTTACTAAAAGACACACACTCAGTGACAGATACACACTCACTTACAAAACATATACTCTCACTGACAAACACTTACTAACTAACAGACACACACAAACTCAGTAACAGACACACTCACTGACACACACACACTGACACTCACTAGCAGACACACACTCAATAACAGACACACAGTAACACTCACTAACACACTTACTGACACCGGGTCGCAGGGTATGCACATGATTGATAATACCCAGCCTAGATCTCATCCGGGCTGGCAAAGGATGCCCATATTACATTGCTACTTCAGCAGGAAAGGGGTTAAACTCAGTATGTGCAGGGTATCATAGCAAAAAACTGACTCCAGGCACCATGAGCACTAGAAATCACTGAAGTGGTCATGGTGCTTGGAGTAAAGTTTTAACCCAGAAAATGTTTATAAAAAGCTGTAACCAACACACCAAATAATAATGGCCTCAATCTAATGTTTTCGGATAAGCTTTTAAAATTATTCAATATTTTGAAAAATTATTATTTTTTTTTATATATATATGATAATCTTTTGTTATTTTAATATCTTGAAAAATAAAACTTTTAAAAATTTATCTGAAAATAAGAAATCATTTAAAAATCAAGAAATATTAAGTTGTGGCCTTTATTTGGTGTATGTATTGGCATATTGCATGGTTGTGTAATATTATTTGGTGTGTGTATTGGTACACTATATAGTTGTGTAATATTATTTTGTGTGTATTGTATAGTTGTTTAATATTATTTTGTGTGTGTTGTATAGTCGTGTAATAGTATTTGGTATTTCTACTGCCACAATATATAGTTGTGTAATATTATTTGGTGTTCATTACTAGTGATGTCGCGAACCGTTTGCGGCGAACTCCGACCAGCTGACACATCCCGGCCAATCTCCAGCAGACCCTCCCTCCCAGACCCTCCCACCTCCTGGACAGCATCCATGTTGAAGTTGCCTGTTAAGCAGACTGTGATCGTCTATTGTTGTGACTTAGATGATGATCAGATCACATTTTATGACCAATTTGTGCAGAAATCCATATCATTCCAAAGGGTTCACATACTTTTTCTTGCAACTGTACATTGCATGCAAACGTTCTAAACTATCTAAACAACGTACTATATTCTTTCTATTCCAATAACATGTTCTCTCAATAAAAATATGAGTGCAGAACAATGGTATTATGTCCAGTACTGTGACATATCAATAAAATTGTTATTTATATTAGTAATGAATAGTGATGTCGCGAACCGTTCGCGAACTTTTCGCGAACGGTTCGCCACGAACCGTTCGCGGCAAACTCCGATCAGCTGACACATCCCGGCCAATCTCCAGCAGACCCTCCCTCCCAGACCCTCCCACCTCCTGGACAGCATCCATGTTGAAGTTGATCAGCTGACACATCCCGGCCAATCTCCAGCAGACCCTCCCTCCCAGACCCTCCCACCTCCTGGACAGCATCCATGTTGAAGTTGCCATGTTGAAGTGCACCTGTGAATGTTTACATGGTGTGTTCAATAAAAACATGGCAACATTTAATTCTTTGTGTGTTATTAGTTTAAGCAGACTGTGATCGTCTATTGTTGTGACTTAGATGATGATCAGATCACATTTTATGACCAATTTGTGCAGAAATCCATATCATTCCAAAGGGTTCACATACTTTTTCTTGCAACTGTACATTGCATGCAAACGTTCTAAACTATCTAAACAACGTACTATATTCTTTCTATTCCAATAACATGTTCTCTCAATAAAAATATGAGTGCAGAACAATGGTATTATGTCCAGTACTGTGACATATCAATAAAATTGTTATTTATATTAGTAATGAATAGTGATGTCGCGAACCGTTCGCGAACTTTTCGCGAACGGTTCGCCACGAACCGTTCGCGGCAAACTCCGATCAGCTGACACATCCCGGCCAATCTCCAGCAGACCCTCCCTCCCAGACCCTCCCACCTCCTGGACAGCATCCATGTTGAAGTTGATCAGCTGACACATCCCGGCCAATCTCCAGCAGACCCTGCCTCCCAGACCCTCCCACCTCCTGGACAGCATCCATGTTGAAGTTGCCATGTTGAAGTGCACCTGTGAATGTTTACATGGTGTGTTCAATAAAAACATGGCAACATTTCATTCTTTGTGTGTTATTAGTTTAAGCAGACTGTGATTGTCTATTGTTGTGACTTATATGATGATCAGATCACATTTTATGACCAATTTGTGCAGAAATCCATATCATTCCAAAGGGTTCACATACTTTTTCTTGCAACTGTATTCTCATTTGGTGTCGAATCTGACACTTTAAACATAGTATATGTTTGTGCAAAAC